TTATTTTTATTTTTATTTTTATTTTTTTAATATTTTTTTTATTTATTTCTAGGAGAGAGAGAGAGACAGCGTGAGCAGGGGAGGGTCAGAGAGAGAGGGAGCCACAGACTGAAACAGGCTCCGGGCTCCGAGCTGGCAGTCAGCACAGAGCCCGACGCGGGGCTCGAACCCACGAACCGCGAGATCATGACCTAAGCGAAAGTCGGACGCTTAACCGACTAAGCCACCCAGGCGCCCCATACCCCAAACATTATGGGACCCTCAAGGACATATTTTAAATCCTATTTTGGAAAAAAGGACTTCTACTTTTTACCTCATATACTTCCTTGTCAATTCAATGTTTTAAAATAATGAGAATGCATTAATTTGTACAATTAGTAATGATATAACAAAGAATGAAAAAATATATATATACAAGAAATCCAAAAAGGAGAGACACTTAATGGCCACAGTCTAAGAGTAGGTCTTCTATTTATGAACTCTGGGCTATAACTTCAATGCGGCAACTTGGTATCTAATTCTCCGCCTGAACAACCTGCTACTGAGTACCACCTGGAGCAGCTGCCGTGGGAATCATCAACCATCTCTTTCTCAGTAGGACCACAAAGAGATGCAGACTGTCTTTCATAAAATTAAACTTTAACTCATAGGGAATTTCTTTCTCAGACTCAAAACAGAAGTTTTACCCTCAGGTATCAATAAGGATCTGTTGAATGAATACCTTTAATTCCCCTCTGTTCTGTGCACAGAGTTGGTGAAAAATTATGAAAGAAATAGAAATTATCAACAAATTAAGCGAAAGATACATTGTAATTTTCACATGGAAACACTTAGGCAGGAAAACCAGAAGACATGCATGGGAACGTGGGAATGTGTACACACACACATACACACACACTCCCCACAACTAAATGCTACTCAAACCACAGCCACACACCCCTTGTACTGCAGGATGTTTACAAGGGGGCTGGGCTTGTCTGACCGGGAATCCAGAATGGCTTGGCTCCTGGAGTGCTTTATACCTGGGCAAATGGCATTGGCAATGCAGGTGGGAAAATTCAGCTCTTTCTTTTCTTAATGGGAAATTCACCTAAGGCCTTGGCTGTTAAGTGCATGTTACAAACACCAAAACATCAATTAATTCAAACTTGTCCATTGTGGGGAGCTGAGAACAGAAATTATACCTCTACCTCCCATGTTCTTCATCACCAAATTAGCTACTAACTGATTAGCATGCCAATTAAAATTACTAAAAACAAACATAAAACCAACAGTTGTGATTTTTATAGCAGACCCTAGAGGCTAATGAGCTCAATGGGTTAATCAGCCAAGAAGATTACTCCCAACAGCAATGTTGCCACATGAGAATGACATACCTCCTCTTCCCCCAAAAACCCTGTCCTTAAAAAAAAATTTTTTTTTAATCAAGAAACATCTTCTTAACAGTATTACAGGTCCTTGAGAAAAGTACTGGGTGACTTATTTTCTGAGACTTATTAATTATAGGCATTTGAGGTTCTTGCTTCATCGATTTACTGGGTCCATAATTACCGTTCATCATCATGTGACTCCCTGAGCCCCAGGCTTATCTCAATTCTGGGCCTCACTGCACACTGACCTGAGGTAGCTACCTTCTGTCTTGAAAACCTCTGCTCTTTCGGCCTCTGCTCTCACCTAGTTGTCCTTTGACCTCTTTGGGCAGTTGTTTTGTCTCCTTTGAAGAATTTTATTTTTGCTTTTTAACCTAGTCATGACAAGTCAGTGTTACAGTGTTTTGTATATAGTAGGTGCACAATAAATGTTTGCTGAATAAAGAATGAATTCCAAGGCTCTGGACTTCATCACTGTATGCTATCCCCTCTGCACTCTCTCTTAAGCATCAGCTAATAGATCTGTATACAGCATCCCCCAATTATACCAAGAAAGAAGTAGCCAGTAAAGACCGAAGCATACTTGTGTGCTCACAGAAAACCTCACCTTTTGTGGATTAACAGAACCCATCAGTGTGGAGAACTGAAAACTGCATTACTGGCTTCAATTCTTCACCTCTCCCTGCATGGATGCCCTCTGTTCTGTGACCTGGCAGCTTATCCCACTAAAGGGAAACAGTGTATTTCTCTCCTCGTGGCTTTTGGGTTGGGTCAGGCTGACTTAGCGTAGCCAACAGAATGAGGCAGAAGTCGTAGGATGCAGGTTCCAACCTGAGACCTAAAGAGGCCTCTCGCATCTGTCTGTTCTTGTTCTCTTACACTTCTGCCATCGCCACCATATGCCTGGGGAGGCCACTGGGCCAGGGGTGACCAAGAACAGGCACAGCAGAGCTGCCGCAGCCTGCCCAGAGAACCATCCAGCAAAGCCTGGTCTAGGTCAGCTGACAGGTCTACAGATGTGTGAGTGATAATAAATGACTGGTGTTTTAAAGTACTGAGTGTGGGGGCCGTTTGTTACATAGCGATAATTACCTGATAGAGAGTCTGCCTACCCAGACCTTAGATCTGAGAAGTTACATATGTTACCACATTATTATCTCGCAATCTAACAGTAGGAACAGCAGTAATAATGATGATGATGATAACACTAATATCATAACAGCTAAACTTATTTGAACACTTACTATGCGCTAGGCACTTTCAAGGTATTAACTAATTTAATCTTAATAGTAACCTCCCTACACAGGCTTTTTATGATAGAATAGTTTCAGATTTACAGAATCATGAAGAAGACAGTATAGAGAATTCTCGTCCACTCCACATCCAACCACCCCTGTTATTAACTTTTGCATTAGCATGGTACACTTGTCACAATTAATAAATAAAGAATGACATTTTATTATCAACTAAAGTCCATAATTTACTCAGATTCTGTTTTTCCTGAATGCCTTTTTTCTGTTCCAGGATCCTATCTACCACATTACATTTACATCATCATATCTTCTTACTCTCTGACAGTTTAATTCCTTTTCTCCCCTTATGAAATTTTAATTATTTTTGGTAACAGTCTGAGACATAATTCACGTAGCATACAATTTGCTGATTTAAAGTATACAATTCAATGGTTCCTACAATATAGTAGGAACACAGTTGTGCAACGATCACCACAATCAATTCTAGAATGTTCTCATCACCCCAAAAAGAAATCTTTATCCTTCAACTATTACCTCCCAACACTTTCCCCTTTCTTGCCAGCCCTAGGCAACTACTTATTTAGTTATCTATACATCTCCCTATTCTGCACATCTCATAATAAGGGAACCATATATTATGCGGTCTTTTGTGACTAGCTTCTTCCCCTTATGTTTTCAAGGTTCATCCCTGCTGTAACATGTTTCGCCACTTTCTTTTTTTATTTACTGAATATTTCATCGTATGGATAAAGTACATTTTATCTACCTGTCAGTTGATGGGTATTTGCATTGTGTTCATGTTTTGGCTGTTAGGAGCACTGCTGTTGTAAACATTCACGTACAGGTTTTTGCGTGGACATATGTTTTCATTCCTCTTGAGTTTATACCTAGAAGAATTGCTGCATCAAGTTGTGACTCTATGTTTATCTTTTTGACAAACTGTTGACAGACTGTTTTCCAAATTAGCTGTGCCATTTTACATTTCTATTTAGCCCCCTTTCTACAGATATGAAATTGAAGCCCAGAAGGATGAAGTAATTTGCCAAAGTCCATACAGCTGAGCAGCACAGGAATGGAGGTGTACCAGCTGATCTGTCCCAGAGGCCCAGCTCTTGACCATCACCCTTCACTGCTGGAGCCCAGAGAGGCCAAGAGATAACCAACATTCTCAGCATGTCTGATTCTCACTCTTTAGGAAAGATGCTTATTCTCTATGTCCCTGTTTAAGAAGCCTCTCTCTAGATTTGGAATCCACAAATTAGTGGAGGTGGGGAGAACAACAAAGAATCACAAAGGAGAAATAAAATTATTGCAAAAAAAAAAATTTTCGATGAGGGGCACCTGGGTGGCTCAGTCAGTTAAGCATCTGACTTCTGCTCAGGTCATGATCTCGCAGTTTGTGGGTTCAAGCCCCGCATTGGGCTCTATGCTGACAGCTCAGATTCTGTGTCTCCCTCTCTTTGCCCCTCCCCTGCTCATGCTTTCTCTCTCTCTCTCAAAGATAAAATAAACATTGGGGCACTTGCATGGCTCAGTTGGCTGTGCATCCAACTTCAGCTCAGGTCATGATCTCATGGTTCATGGGCTGGAGCCCTGTGTTGGACTCTGCTGACAGCTCAGAGCCTGGAGCCTACTTCAGATTCTGTGTCTTCCTCTCTCTCTGCCCCTTCCCTGCCTGCGTGCTCTCTCTCAAAAATAAATAAATATTAATTTTTTAATAAAATAAACATTTAAAAAAAGTGTTTACAAATTTTTCAGTGAAAAAATGGTATATATTCTGAGATTCTTTTAGATTAAAGGGAAAGCAAGGGTGCATATGAGCAGTAGCCAGGTACATAAAAGGTTAGGGTAATGAGAGTTCATGCGTGAGCCATTCTTTACCTCCTTGAATGAGAAGAAACGGGTTTTAATCTACAGAATGACAGACTCCTCATCTTTTTTTTTTTTTAATGTTTTATTTATTTCTAGGAGAGAGAGAGCGTGAGCAGGGGAGGGTCAGAGAGAGAGGGAGTCACAGACTGAAACAGGCTCCAGGCTCTGAGCTGGCAGTCAGCACAGAGCCCGACGCCGGGCTCGAACCCACGAACCGCGAGATCATGACCTAAGCGAAAGTCGGACGCTTAACCGACTAAGCCACCCAGGCGCCCCATCAGACTCCTCATCATTATCAGACACTGAAACTCTACGGAACCCTTAGGAAACCATCTAGGAACATTATTATTATTATGACTTAAATTGAGTCCTAGCTAGGAGACAGGAAGATGGATTAAAGGACCAGCAGTCTTGTGGTTCCGTGACTTCAGAGATTTTGTGCAACCATACCTGCCACAATCTTTGGTCTACAGACTCAGAGTCCTTTAAACCAGGACTAACTTACCTTGAATAGCAGACAGATATACAAAGGTGTCTTCATGTTCCAAGTTCTCCAAGAATATCTGGAACCACAAAATAAAAGAGTGGTATGATTCACAAAGAAAAAGCAAGATATAAGAGACCCTTGAGGCAGCCTCAAAAGAATAAATGCTTTTCTTCTTGTTTCTCTTAGCTAGACATTAGTCTGATGTGAGAATCTTGTAGGGAAGACAGTGTATATAAAAATGTCCCATTTTTATAATAGCTATAAAAGGGTACCAGTTAGAGGGAGATACTTCTTGAAGCAGTCAAGTATATACCAGAAGTAGGCATGGAAACCGAGATCTGGAAGAAAATTCCTCAACGTTTGCTCCACTACAGCCCATGACGGATAACATTCTCACATGTGACACGACAGACTACCAGTCATGACACACAAGATGCCAAGTGTGGGGTTATGTCCAACTGATGGCATATTTGCTCTAATTTGATCCTTTTTGCTTGCATTCAGAAAGTATATGGAAATGCAAGTGACAGACAGATGTTACTGGGATAACCCTGAATCTGTTCTAATTTATTTCTTTAAATCTTTTGTACATTTCGGCACTTAAATTGACATTAGTTACAAATTATCTTCAACAGATTATCTCACAATTTAGGAAAGCACCAGGGTGTCAACTGCAGAGGGTACTGCTTATGTAGAAGATATGACAATGACATATTAAGTTTAGGCTCTAATGTGAGGGCCAGAGAAAGACAGCAGCCATATGCCCGTTTTTTCCTGCTTGGGCATCTAGGAGAAGGATAGGGGTATCTGTTCCATATTTACTGATGCATCATTTCCTGGCACAGTGATTCATGATACCAACTTGATGCTGCTGGTCCCCACATCTGCAGCATATCTAGAGTCAAAAATTAGTTAAATTAAAAAAAAATTAGTTAAATTAGAAAGAGGGCCAGGTTGGGAGGGGTGGGGATCATGTAAGGAGTAAAGGAAGCTTAATCTAGGGTAGTGGCCATGGGAATAAAGAGGAAGAGACAGATATATTTGACAGACTTCTTGGGAAAAGAATTGACAGGACCAATCATGCACAGAAGATGGAAGATGAAGGTTAAATAAGTTAAAGAAAATCCCAAAGACGTTTATAGCATTCATCATTTAGTGTACGAAGGGATATTTTTGGTGATTGATTACTCAAAGGAGATATATAATTGGAAGTTTTCAGCGATATTTCAAAGGCAGCAAATCCTTGGCACATTTACAGGCCTTGGTTTTCTCATCTTAAAATGGGAATAATACCAGTATTGCAGCTGTTATGAGGACTGGAGACAATGTCTGAAAGGCATAGGACCAGGCTGAATACACAGCAGTTATTATTATACTACTGATGCTAACACTTTAGTTACTAGAGATAAATGTTTTCAATCAGAATTATAACTCTTAATCTAATGGCTAAAGCATTTGAAAGAGATTATAATGATTATGATGGTGAACCTTTATTAGATGATTATTATGTGCTTATCACTATAATTATTGCTTTACATACTTTTTCCCCCCAAGGTATCAGCAGGGCTGCATTCATTCCCTCTTGTGTGTGTGTATGTGTGTGTGTGTGTGTGTGTATTCATTCATTTTGAGTAAGCTCTATGCCCAACATGGAGCTTGAACTCACAACCCTGAGATCAAGAGTTGCCTACTCTACCAACTAAGCCAGCCAGGTATCTCTACATGGATTATTTTATTTTAAATTTTAAATATTTTTCTTTTCTATTCACTTTCTGTCTTTTCTTCCTCTCTTTCTTTCTTTCAGATTTTATTTTTATTTTTGGGGTGTCTAGGTGGCTTGGTTGGTTAAGCATCCAACTCTTGATTTGGATCAGGTCATAATCTCATGGTTTGTGAGCTCAAGCCCTGTATCAGGCTCCACACTGACAGCTTGGGATTCTTTCTCCTTCTTTCTCTGCCCCTCCCCTGCTCACTCACATGCTCTCTCTCTCTCAAATAATAAATAAACTTTTAAGAAGAATATATTTTTAAGTAATCTCTGCACCCAATATGGGGTTTCAAACTCACAACTCCAAGATCAAGAGTCACATGCCTGAGAGACTGAGCCAGTCCAGGTGTCCCTAAATCTTTCCACTAAAGTGGGTCCTATTGTTATTACGCTCACTTTACAGATGTAGAAACTGAGGAGGTTGCATGGGTGGCTCAGTCAGTTAAGCCTCTGACTTCTGATTTCGTCTCAGGTCACAATCTCATGTTTATAGGATGGAGCCCTGCATCTGGCTGTGCACTGACAGCACAAAATCTGCTTGAGATTCTCATTCTCCCTTTCTCTCTGCCCTTTCCCCCTGAAAAATAAAGAAATAGATATAGAAATTAAGGTTCTTAAGATCTGCAACCAAGCATATATTTTCTCCGATATACATCTCTGGTGTACAGAACAGCCTCTTCACTGCGATGGAGATAGAAGGCAGGAGTGGGGTGGGGGGCAGTTCTACACAATTCCCCTCCAAAAGGGGCCCCTATAATTCCCCCCAAAATAGGGGGCTTCTCTGGGAATTTGCTCATGTTGTTCCTTCCCCTTTTCTTTCCTGTTTATGCTCAACTGAGTGGTCTCAGGTGGTTGTCTAAGTCTTTCCTGTGTCCAAGTCTTGCCTCCTCAGAACAGTTAGAATTTCCCTAAAGGGGGTCCAGGGCAGAGGCGTCTGGGTGGCTCAGCTGGTTAAGTGTCCAACTCTCAGTTTTGGCTCAAGTCATGATCTCGTGGTTTCAGGAGTTCAAGCTCCACATCAGGCTCTGTGCTGACAGTGCAGAGCCTGCTTAAGATTCTCTCTCTTCCTCTCTCTCTGCCCCTACCCCACTCACACTGCCTGTCTATCTCAAAATAAATAAATAAACTTAAAAAAATAAAATAAAACAAAACAAACAAAAAAAGCTCAGGTTGTCCAGGGCAGTGCTTGACACATAGTCAAAGCTCCTGGAAAGCTACCCACTCTGTGTGCATGTGTTTTCCCAGTATGTTCTACTCACCTTGAGAAGCTTCTCTTGCATCTCAAGGGCTTTTGCTTCTCTCTGCTCTATCCAGCAGGAAAGAGTTCGCAGAGCAGCAGCCCGCGTTGGAATCTGAGGATCATAAGCTGATAAAAGAACCTCCTGGAGTTGGTCTGTGGTTATGCTTCCAGATTTCTGGTTTGTAGTAGTTCTGGGCCCACCGACCTCCTGAGGAATGGGTGGAGCATGTGATTTCAGGCCTGTTTGCCTGCATTTCTCACGGCTTTGCCGTTGCTCGAGGTCAGACTCATTAGTGTTCTTTTCATGACTGCTTTGTGGGTGCTCTTCTGTTTTCCCTTCTGGATCCTTTCTGTTCAGGGTACTTCGGGCAGCCACACTGACAGCGTCGGTGGAAAAGGCCCCATGGGTAGAGATGGTGATGCGGAGATCAACAGCGAGCTCTTGGATGACAGGGTCAGGGTACACATTAGAGACCTTCTCCAACAAAGGCATCAGTTGCTTCAGGACGGCGAAATCACTGGACTTCAACTACAGAATGAAATAAAAAATGCCAAACCCAATTTAATATAGCGGATGTTAATAATACCTGAGCACAAGGGAACCTATTCTGAGTAAGATCTTATTCATGGTGTAATCAGCACAGTCTAGCACTCAGTAACTATTGTTGAATAATTATAGGTAACACTTATTAAATACCGTGTGTAGAGATTTTTCTGAGTTAAAAATAAACTAGTGATGCACATGATTACACTTAATTTTTACAACCTGGTGGGAAAAACATGGTTATCTTATGGTTTTAATTTGCATTGGCCAGACTACCAGTGCTATTAAGCATCCTTTCATGTTTTCTAGCTGTCTGTATTTCTTTTTTCTGTGCACACCCTGTTTACATCCTTTGTACCCACTTAGTTATTAGACTGTTTGTCTCTACAGCTATTCTTACCATATTAGATTTTAGGACCCAGTCATATAGTAAAATTATTTTCCAGATTATTATATTTTGACTTTTATTATCGTTTTTACTGCATTATTGTACTTTTAACTTCTACATACCTTTTGCTATGAAAAGATGAGTTAATATTAGCAAAGTACTTAGTGCCTGACAGATAGTAAGTGCGATGTAAATGTTTTAAAAAGAAACATGGTAAAAATATGCACATATTCATATCCATACGATCTAGTTATGATTATTACCTACATAATAAATGGGAGGAAATGAGGTACAGAACAGTTAAATAACATATACAAGGTCACACAACTGCAAGATGGTGAGATATGAAGTCAGTAAGTCTGGCTCCAGAGTCCACGCTCTTACCAATAACCCTACAAAGTCTCTCTTGAACAAGTAAAGCAGGTTTTTTTAATGTTTATTTTTGAAAGACAGAGAGAGAGCATGCATAAGAGCATGGGGAAGGGCAAAAAGAGAGGGAGACAGAGGATCCAAAGCAGGCTCCGCACTGACAGCAGAGAGCCCTACATGGGGCTCAAACCCACAAACCATGAGATCATGACCTGAGCTGAAGTCAGACACTTACCCTACTGAGCCACCCCAGTGCCCATGAATAAAGGAGTTCTTAACAACATTTTCTAAAGTGGTTGGTCAGCATACAAGGGCATCATAAGTCTGGAAGGTATTGGGACAATAATTGGCAAAAGGAAAGTTCTCCTACAAAGTGAGAGTGAAAAATACCTAAGATTTTATTCTCTCTAGAAGCTTTGTTCTATAATGCCATATGTCTTACTAGGAAAAGTGCATGTGCAGGCAGTAGAGAAACAAGAATCAGTGATAATCCTTTTCTCTTTGAAAACACTAGATATAGTATCATATGAGGCTTCATGAACCCTTCACATTTGAAAACCTTGCAAGCCTTAAAATCCTTTTTAGAACAAGGCAGGGCATTTACTACTAATGCGTTCACTCACTTCATTATCCAACCAACCAATCAACCATCTGTGTATGATCTAGATAATATTCTCATTTAGACTGTAAGTCCACAGAACTATTACTGTTTCTTTTCCCCATCACTTTCCTTCCAGGTAAATAAAAACTTGAGGTTTATGTCAGGTTTGTACCTATAGAATTTTCCCATATACCTTCCTCAGATTTCTTTGTTTAAACATTAGGAGCTATGCAAAATCGACAGAAGGTAAAATTTCTAGCTTTGCAGCGCATGTTAACCTATCTGTATGTGTACAACTGATCACCGCAATGTTACTATATCTTAAAGGGAGAAGAGAATCTGTATGACCAGAATAAAAATTATGTTATCTGAGAAAAAGGACAATTTTATCAGGAATCTGTAGAACTGGGAAAGATATTTTAGTAAGAGATAGTAATAGATATTTAGATAATTTTGTGAGTATTACCATTATGCTAGTGCCTCTGTACTATTTCATTTGGTGCCTCTGTACTATTACGGACATTTGTTTTTTCTTTAAGTGTCTGAAATAGGAAAATCTATATATAGCTACAGTGTATGGCCTCTTTTTCATTTCTACTGTATACAACAATTTCTTCTTTAAAAAAAAGATAAATAGACCAATGTAAAAAGAGAAACCAGAAAGAGACCTATTTAAATATAATCAACTGATTTTTTTGTTTTTTAAATTGAAGTATAGTCGACACACAATGTTACATTAGTTTCACGTGTGCAGCGCAGTGATTCCAGTTTAATCAACTGATCTCTGACAAAGGAGCAAAGTCAATACAGCAGAGAAAAGAGAGACTTTCAACAAACGTTTTTTATTTTAATTTATTTTAGAGAGAAAGAAGGACAGAGCACAAGCAGGGGAGGGACAGAGAAGGAGACACAGAATCTGAAGTGGGCTCCAGGTTCTGAACTGTCAGCACAGAGTCTGACACGGGGCTTGAATGCATGAACCGTGAGATGATGACCTGAGCTAAAACCAAGAGTCGGATGCTTAACCAACTGAGCCACTCAGGTGCCCCTAAATGGATCACAGATTTAAATGTAAAATGCAAAGCTATGAAATTCCTACATGATAAGAGAAAAATCTAGACAACCTGGGGTATGGCACTGACTTTTTTGATAAAGTACCAAAGAAAAAAATCCATTAGAGAAATCACTGATAAGCTAGATTTCACCAAAATTTAAATTTTTTATAACTTTTACTTTGCACAAAACAATGTCAAGAGAAAGAGAAGACCAGCCGCAGACTAAGAGGAAATACGTGCAAAAAGACACATCTGAAAAAGGACTGTTATTCAAAATACGCAAAGAACTCTTGAATTCAACATTAAGAACACACACAACCAATTTACAAATGGGCAAAGCGCTGAACAGACCCCTCACCAAAGACACATGGACATGCAACACATGTCGAGATGCTCAGCATCACATGGCATCAGAGAATTGCAAATTTTGCAAATTAAAATGAGATGCCATTATATTCCATTACATATGGTATACATATATATATAATATTGGAATTACATATTATAATCCATTATATACCATTATATATGGCCATATATATAAGCATTATATTAAAAGGACTAAAATCCAAAACACTGAAATAGCACAGCTGGTGAGGATGTGCAAGAGGAACTCTCATTGTTGGTGGGAATGCAAAATGGTACAGTCACTTTTGTAAGGCAGTTTGGCAGTTTCTTACAAAACTAAACATACTCTTACCATATGTTCCAGCAACTGATCTCCTTGGTATTTACCCAAATGACATGAAAACTTATGTCCATACACAAACCTACACATAGATGTTTGTAGCAGCTTTATTCATAATTGCCAAAACTTGGGAGGGATCCAAGACGTCCTTCAGTAGGTGAATGGATAAATAGATTGTGGTACATCCAGATCATGGAATATTATTCAGCACTAAAAAGAAATGAGCTATCAAACCCAACAGACATGCAAGAAACTTAAATGCATATTACTAAGAGAAAATAGCCAGTATGGAAAGGCTACACAGTATATGATTCCAAGCAAGTTACATTCTGGAAAAGGGAAGTTACATTCTGGAAACAGTAAAAAGATCAGTGGTTGTCAGGGGCTGGGGGGAGAGAGGGATGAATAGGCAGAGCACAAAGAATTTTAAGGGCAGTGAAACTATTCTATTAACAGTATCATAATAACAGATACATGTCATTATACACTTGTCAAAACTCATAGAGTGTACAACACCAAGAAAGAACAGTAATGTAAACTACAGACCATGAGTGATAATGGTCAATGCAGAAGCAATGGTGTAATCAATGGATCACTCTAGTGCAGAATGCTGCTTGTGGGGAAAGCTGTGCTCGGGGGGGGGGGGGGGGGGGGGGGGGGGGGGGGGGGGGGGGGGGGGGGGGGGGGGGGGGGGGGGGCAGAGGGTGTATGGGAAATCTCTGTAACTCCTGCTCAATTCTTCTGTGCACCTAAAACTGTTCTAAAAAAGAGTCTATTAATAAAATACCTAACCGCCTTTGCTTCCAGTTTTCAAGCTTCTTAGTCATTGTTGGATTCATCTTAGTCAAGTGAGTAACTTCTCTCATCACCGTAGGCAGGTAGGTGGGTTCTGAATCAAACAGTTTACAAGGCAATTAAAGTTATGCATTCTTTCAGTTTCATAAGCCTACAGATTCCCCACTATGAGAACAATTAGGGAAATCTAAGACTACAGGTGCCAACTATTTTGTTCATAAATGTTCCAAAAATTTTTGAGGCATAAAGTATTACTTATTTACTTGATAGATGAGAAAATGGAACCACTAAGTAATTATTAACTATTTTTCAAGGGTCACTGAGGGCCATATCGAAATTGAGAATTAACCATAAAGCCCTCATTTCTATTCCTGTCACTGCTTCTCAGCACAGATCTCATATCCAGACTTCAGAATTCTGTGTAGAAGGCCTGAGGCCTGAAGGAGCAGCCCACAAGTGAGTGACAGATTCCTTCATCAGGCTGCCTCTCTTCCAGAGTGTCTGGAAGGCTTCAGAAATGGAATGAGCAGAGCTATGTCAGCCCACGTCTATGATTTCTTTCAGGGTGTCAAGAGCAAACCAGTTAGATGGTAAGTTGTTCTGAATTTCTACAAGCTTTCAAATTTAAGAACTGTGGGGTTGGACTGGCAGGGGTCGGACTGGGGGTGGGGGGTAGTGGAAGGGAGCATACCTGCTAAGGGAAACATATGAGGACCAAAGTGACACCCAGAGGACAGTATGTATACAATGAAAAAGCCCCACAGGAGGCTTTACAAAGCCCAACTAAGGGGCATACATCCCCTCATCCAGCCTTGTCCTGCTCCAGTGAGAATCACTACTTTGGGAGAATCTGAGGGTTTCTTCCAGCGATAAAATACTGAGCTAATTACATAAAATATTCACGTGTATTCTTTGTGTTCTCACTTCTATATATCACCTGTGTTTCTTCAGCTATTTTGCTGAATAGTGTACATGTCCAGTTCTTATTTATAATGTCAATGAATTTATTTACAAGTGGTATTTTTATTTTGATTCTAAGTCAGCATACAGTATGCCCTGTTTTATAATAAGCAGCACATAAAGATACACTGAAGATACTAATGTGAATCTTTTTTAAACTTCAGAATTCATCAGATTTACCACAGCCACTATAAGGTAAACTCCATGAGGACAAAGAGACAGATGATAAATATTTCTTTTTTTTTTTTAAGTTTATTTATCTTTGACAGAGAGAGAGAGAGAGAGAGAGAGAGAGACAGAGAATCCCAAGCAGGCTCCATACTGTCAGGGTGGAGCCTGATAAAGGGCTCAAACCCAAGAACCATACAATCATGACCTGAGCCGAAGTCAGATGCTTATCCAACTGAGCCACCCAGGCACCCCAATAAATATTTCTTGAATGAGTTCACTCTATGATACTCTCAGAAAATATGGTACAAGACCTCAGGATTCGGGTTTGAGTCTCAGCCGCACCACCCTGACCCTCAAAGCTCAGATCAGCTCCATGTAGCAGCGCTATAGGGGACATGGGCCCTAGAACACCATCAAGAAACATTACCAACATCACACTTTTACTGATGACCAACTTGAAATTTAGAAAATGAGTTTGGAATTACACTTGTCTTGTTAGCAGTCTTAGACCTGTACTTTCTCCAAACTGACTCCTCTTCCTAGACACCATGTTCTTTTTTTAATTTTTTTTTTAATGTTTTGTTATTTATTTCTAGGAGAGAGAGAGAGAGACAGCGTGAGCAGGGGAGGGTCAGAGAGAGAGGGAGTCACAGGCTGAAACAGGCTCCAGGCTCTGAGCTGGCAGTCAGCACAGAGCCCGACGCGGGGCTCGAACCCACGAACCGCGAGATCATGACCGAAGCGAAAGTCAGACGCTTAACCGACTAAGCCACCCAGGCGCCCCCTAGACACCGTGTTCTAATAATCACCTTAATTACATACATTAGAACGGAAAGAAAGGTTTAAATGCTGTTAGATTGTTTCATTAGCTAAGACAATGAACTCTAATCAGAGACTGATACAGTATATTCTAGACTCTGAAGCAAAAGTCCTAGTCTAACAATGACCATCTGAAAACAAAACTAAGAATCCTGATTTTTTTCCTAATACAAAGACAAAAAACCCAGAATTACTATAGAAGCCCCTTATGAATCCATGAATCAAACAGAAAAAAGTTAATAGATCGAGGGCAAAAGTACAGGGTGACGTGTCTATGTTCACTTAACTAAATGCAAAGTCAGAGTAATCCAGATGTCATCGGTGAGTCAGGATGGCTCATAGAAGGGCAGGGACAGGTAAGGGATATACATTTGCATCAGCCAGGTGACTTTCTCTTAAAACATGACTAATTTACATAGTCAGTCTCCAAACAATGGGCTTCTAGAAAGGGAAATGGAAATCTCTGTGTTCTATTTTCCATTTGGGACATGGTAAAGAATTACAGGTGTTAAGGGGCACCTTGGTGGCTCAGTCAGTTGGGCATCCAACTTCGGCTCAGGTCATGATCTCATAGCTCATGGGTTCGAGTCCCGCTTCGGGCTCTGTGCTGACAGCTAACTCAGAGCCTGGAGCCTGTTTCAGATTCTGTATCTCCATCTCTCTCTGACCCTCCGCTGCTCACGCTGTCTCTCTCTGTCTCTCAGAAATAAATAAAAAAACATTTTAAAAAAGAAAAAAGAATTACATGTGTTAAGTAAGAGAAAAGAAAAGCATAAAGACCATACTCTCAACTTATGGAAACAAAGACTATTCTTAATATTCAACCAGAAAACAAAAACCAATCAGGCCAACTAAATCCAATAACAATACAACTTAAGAAAAACTATTCCACTAGTGAGCCTTGCCTTGACAATTTAATGGCAGGGATCTAGTAGGACTTCAGAAAAAGAACCAAAAATGTTTTCTTCAAACTACATGGAAAATACAAAATTTGGAGTGTGAATTACATCTACCAAGAAATGGGCTTCACATTAACAACAGGCCCAAATAAAATTCCTTTTCCCCTTAAGGACAAGCTTTGAAATGAGGCAAATTCTAATATATCACAAATCAGTATCAGATTTGAATCTTCAAATTTAAAAAATCCATTCCCAGAGGGTTCCCTGCCCATTGCTAAGAGTCATGAGTGGTCTGATGTGGGGTCAGATTTCATTGTATTTGCACTAAGCTTACTCTGCCTTCTCACAGTCTCCTAACACACACGCGTGTCCCCCTCCCTTCTTGTCTGGAGCTCCTTTGACCTTGGTCTCTATAATTCAGCTACACACCAGCTTCCATTAGTGTTTAAATATACCAGGCTCTTTCCTGCTTCCCAGCCTTTATATGTGATGTTGTCTTTTAGTGAGTTTCGTCCATCTGCACCACACACACTCCCAAGCTCCTATTCACTGTTCAAGTCTTGGCTCAGCTTACACTTCCTTGGTAGAAACCTTCCCAGCCTAGGTTGCTGTTATGTTCTCTTGGTACCCTCCTCTTTTCTTTTCAGGCACTCGGTTCAATTCTAAATATATTTTTTGAATAGTTATTTAGTGTCTGACTCCCTCACTGGCTGTAAGCTTCATGAGGGTAGGGACCACGTTTGCTTTGTCCAGGGCAGTATTCCCAGGCCCTTACTCAGTGTCTGGCACACAGCCATAAGCAATAAATATTTTTTGAGTCAATGAATTTAAAAATTATAAATTAACTATGTAAAGGATATATGCATGGGACACAAAAACTTTAACAGGCTACGGGATATGGGTTGAACAATGGATCATGTGCTAAAACAGAACTATTCCAAACAGATGGAATCCTAAGCAATCAGCAGGTTACCCAAGTTTTCCCCCAACTACAGCAGTAGCAACAAGGGCTGAGCTGTGTGGAGAGCCCTCGGAGCAAGAGACAGAGAATCTAGTATTTGCCATAGATGCAAAACACTGTGCCAGGTATTTCCAAATTGCTTGTGTCAGATCAGAAAGGGTCCTTCTGATAATGGAGTCTACACAGGTGACAAGGTGGAAGTGGTACGATGTTCTTGTCCTCTGCTTTGGGGAGAATTCTCATTAACAACCTGACTTGTTTATCGTGGTGCTCCTAAGTGCAATATCCATTCTGTTTTCTCACAAGGGTGAGAAGGAAAGCCAGAGGTTTCTCTCTTCTCTCCTCCTTCCATGCAGGGTTGGCTCATGTCAGCCGCTTACCTGAACAGCTCCTCCCAGCATGACAGCCACCAGCCCCATGGACATGCTCAGCGTCTGTGATTCCACGGTGCTCTCTGCCTGGTGGGCCAAGCTTGCGCACGCTCGCTGCAGTGTTGCTGCGACAAAGTCCACAACCTACCACAGAAACAGAATTTAGAATCAGTAAGGAATAAGAAAAACAATCTCAAGAGGTGCCTGGGTGGCTCAGTCGGTTAAGTGTCCGACTTCGGCTCAGGTCATGACCTTACAGTTCGGTTCGTTAGTTCAAACCCTGCATCAGGCTCTTGTGCTGACAGCTCAGAGCCTGGAGCCTGCTTCAGATTCTGTGTGTGTCTCTCTCTCTGCCCCTCCCCTGGTTGACTTTATCTGCCTTTCAAAAATAAATAAACATTAAAAGAAAAACAATCTCAAAATTCTCTTTACATCTTAACGTCCACATCCTCACCTTCTTCCTCATTGGCACATGAAGGCAAGAACCTGCAAGAACAGGCATGGTGCTCAGTGTCTTATGTACACAGTATCACCTACATCTCATGTCAACTCTAAGAGGTCAGTGCTCCTGTCCTCATTTTTTAAAGTAAACTCTACCCTCAATGTGGGGCTTGAACTCACAACCCCACGATTAAGAGCCACACGCTCTACCGACTGAGCCAGCCAGGTGCCCCCGTCCTCATTTTTTGATGAAGAATCTGTGAGCTGCTCAAGCCATATGTCAATAAATGAGAAAGCCCGTTTCTATTTTCCCAAATGTTTTAATATACTAACCCCACTTTCGTGACTTTTCATGAATTTTGCACGGAAATTAAGATGAAAAATAATCTGAGACTTTCTGACCATCTTAGAGGGTCCTCATCTGCTTCTCCTAGTGAGGTTTCTTCTTCAGGGACTCCCTTGCCCCAACCCAGTTATGAGGATCTGATTCCAGTAAGCAAAGAATGGGGGAAGAGCCATTCAGTTTCATATAGAACAGAGTCCTCAAACAATCTATATAAACGATCCAGAGTCATTTTTTAAGTATCAAATATTTCTAAAGGATTAGGATCATTCATATACAAGATTTTATACAGCATTTGGCTAACAGCTAAGCTTTAAATGGAATTGATTTGGTCAGCACCATTTTAGCAGCACTTGTATTAATCACCTTAAGTGGAAATACCTTTGAATAAAAGCGATCGTACACACATCCGTGCTTGCGCACGTACACACGTGCATGCACGCACACAGGCACGCATATTCAGGATTAATGGCTCAAAAGGGAAAAATCATTTTGAAAGTGGTACAGCTGACATAGGTCATAATAAGCCTCTAAATACCATGCAAGCTTGCATATTTAATTCTCTGGGCAAATCACATGCTAGGCTAGAGTCTTTATTGCAAGCTTAAAGTAAGGAGAATGGCTTGTTAACACTTGTCTTTGGAGCAAGGCAGGAAACTAGAAAGGTTATTAAAAATTCCATTTACTGAAATGAACAAATGCTGGTTGTGGCAATTTTCACCGCTCTCTCAAGCCTAAGACTCTACTGATATTAGAAGATATGGACACTGGCCTTTCTAGAGAAAATGCTACATTTCTAAAGAATGCTTGGGTCACCTATTTTGTCTCTGAAAAATTTCCTAAAGCACCCCTTGACTACAGGAAGCCTTCTGTTTCAGCACAAATTGTATTGTTAAATTGCCGGAAAGGAACTATCTAGACTTTCCACTTTTTGGAAGTCCCTCTTCGCTACATATATAATTTTTTCTTTTCTTTTCTTTTTTTTAGATGCCACAAAACAAGTAGTATGATCCTTTTGTTAAGAAAGAAACTATAGGGGCACCTGGGTGGCTCAGTCAGTTAAGCGTCTAACTCTTGATTTTGGCTCAAGTCATGATCTCACGATTCGTGGGTTCAAGCCCTGTATTAGGCTCTGCACTGACAGCGTGAAGTCTGCTTGCGATTCTTGCTCGTTCCCTCTCTCTACTCCTCCCCCACTCATTCTCTCTCTCTTTCTCTCTCTCTCTCTCATGGACAAATAGGAGCACGTGGGTGGTTCAGTTGGTTCAGTATTTAACTCTTGATTTCATCTCAAGTCATGATCTCACAGTTCATGAATTTGAGCCCCATGATGAGCTCTGGGCTGATAGCACAGAGCCTGCTTGGGATTTCTCTCTCTCTCTGCCCCTACCCAGCTTGTTCTCTCTCCCCATATCCCTCAAAAATAAACAAATAAATATTTAAAAAATTGAATGTGTTTAATGGATAAATAAACATAGGAAGAGAAGAAAGAACCTGTGCTTGTATACGTGTAAAAAAAACCACAAACAACAAAAATAAAACACCTGGGAGCTGTTAACTGCAGTTTGATAGCCAGCTGTTCTTGTCATCCCTAAAATGCCCTCTCCCCCAAGCTTTGTTCCTGTAACAACAAAACCACCATACCCATTTCCCATTTGGACAACAGCTCCTTCCTGCTACTACTCATTTCCCATGACTGGTGGGGCTGCCAGCCACCATGACAGGTAAGTAACAGAAGCATGTTCTAGAATTTACATACACTGTGGAGAGGGGGAGAGGCTTTTACTTTTTACCTAAGCATTTTTGTGAAGCTACATAATCTAAAAAGTCAAATATTCTTGCAAGTTTATCATGGAAAACAGCAGTGCCCTACCTCATTTCTCCCCGTCTATGGCTCTACAGAGGCAACACTTTTAATAGTTTAGGTGTTTAGTAATAACAGGAAGCATTTACTATGTACCAGGTACCATTCCGAACACATGACAGATGTTAACTCTCATCCCACCGAGCTGTAAAAACCTGCGGCCAGCATTTCGGCAGCCGAGTGGAAGCAGGCTGAGGCTTCACTGTTGAGTCTGCAGACAGCAACCCAATCCTCCGGTTCTGCAGTTTGCTGCGGCCACCCAAGCTCAACATCTCCCAAGAATATTCCTCCAGCCTTCTGCTGAGGAGGGGAGGTGTTTGTACAGAGTTGAGGAAGGAATCAAGGAGTCTACTGAACCTTGCAGAGCTTTTCAACCTGTTTTAAGCTCTAAATTCAGCTCTATCTTTACAGCTTAACCTAGCACTTCCAGTCTTTCCACTGTTCTGCAAGGAGAAGTAGCTTTTTGTTTTCCGAAATAAAATATTAACAGTTTTATTGAGGTATAGTGCCTTCCTTTGTGACTTCTCCCATGCAGGCACTTAGCTTTCTGTTTCTGAGTTGCTAAATCAGCTATTATTTTCCAGTTTCCAAATGGCGTTATTCTCTTTTATCTGCTGTCTCTCCTCTCCTGCTCTGGTGGTCCCTGTGGTTTCCAGATAAACACATGTGTTCAATAAACTATCTTTGATCAGAAGTTCATACTTCTTAAATTTTGCACTTCCTTGTTGTTTAAATGTTTCTACAATGAGCATGTGTTACTTATGTTAGAAGTGTTTCTAACATATGAGAAAGAACGATCTTATAAACCACTTCTACTGTGCCAAGTACAGCAATCCAAATACAGAAAAGTGCAAAGAGTGGTGATTTTCTGAAAGGGCAGAAAAGGGGAAATCTTGCTCATTCCATTCCATTTACGCTGGCCTTCTTGCTAAGCTGTCCACACTTGAGTCGTGTTCCCTCTAGGTATCCCCCTGCCTCCCTCCTTCCCCGTTTCCAGACCTTTGCTCAAAAGTCATCTTCCCAGTGAAGCTCTCCACAACCACTCTATTTACCACACTGCTTTTACATCCCCTTTCTTTGATTTTTCTCTCTGAAATTATCAGCATCTAACACACTGTGTGCTTCTGCTTGTTTGTTGTCTCTCTCCCCCATGTGAATGTACTCCCATGAGGCTAGATATGTGTGTTGTTCACCGCTGTGTCCCTCGTACCTAGAAGTGTAGGCAACACATAGTAGGCCTTCAGTAAATATTTATGGAATGAAGGAACTTGGGAATTGGTGTGGGGCACTGTATCTGTACATAGACCACTGAATGCCTCGTTTCTCTCTATAGCTTCTCGTACACCATCTGCCAACACATTTTATTGAATTTTTAATCTTTTATCCATAAATACTTCAATATACATTTCTAACAAGGATTTTTGGTGTTTTTTTGTTTTTTTTTTTAACATAACCAACATATCAGAGGTGTCTGGTTGGCTCAGTCGGTAGAGCGTTTGGTTACACTGAAATACAGTGCTGACAGAAAAGTCAAGATAAATGTTTTATGATCTTTCATTTATCAACTTACAAAATAATGAGTGATGCCCTAGCGACTTCCAAAGATGTTCAAAAGGGATTTTTGGTGGGGCGAGGGACTCAAGTTTTTATAACTTTGATATGTTTCAATCCACTGCAGGCATTATTCTTTGTAATGCTCAAAATGCCCTACCTGTGGCCAATAGGAGATCTTTCAAGTTGGCTCCTGAGTGCTACTAACATGACTTCATTAATCTCAGGTATCTTCCTTTTATTTAGGTACAACAAGATGCCCTGAGGCTTACAGTGTACAATCCCTGCCCTAGACCTTGAACGAACCTTTAATCCAATGAGCTTTGTGTTCTTTCAGCAGGACATGCTATTTAGAAACTACAATCTGGCACTAAGGATGTTTATTGCTCCTGGACTGTCACTGCTTCTTGACATGGACAGTGGGAACAAATAAGGAAATATGAATTTAAAAAAAAAAATCGTGAGTTCATACTAATACATCCAACTGAAATTCAATATTATAGGGATTTTGTCCTTTGATTTTATAGTCATAACTTTTTTTCTGATACTGAAAATCTTGGTTTCTAATGATATTAACAAAATTACTTATAACACATATTATTTATAACTTATCCATATGTGTGTATATTTCAAAATAAATACTAAAATTACCACTAGCAGTAAAACTACTAGATGTAATTTTTGTGTGTGTGGTTCTTTTCATCTTGATACATGTTAACCTTAGCTGAAGGATAATTTAATGGGACAAATCACTTTTCTATCAGCCTAACACCGATGTTCCTTAATTAGAAGCAAAGGGAGCTAAATGCAAAAGCTCAAGTAATATAGTTTTCAGGCCATTTTCCCTTCCAACTAGCATCTTGAGACAAAAACGTAAGATCTGGTGAAGAAGTCTTTAGGAGCTGGTACAAACACAGGAGAAACAAATCACCCTAATGGGTAACACGGGGTCAGTGAACTGAAGGAAGAGGAAGCCATGAACGTAATTCTCATTAAACAGGCACGATAAGTTGGAGCTGACAGACAGCTGCAAATTTTCTCAGCAGGAGCTATAGTGAAATGCTGCTTAGCAACACCGAAGGCGGATGACAATGAGGACAGTACAAAGAGCTGAAGAATCAGATTTAAGCGTGACAATCGTACCATCTTACTACCGACTATTCACCAGCCGAGAACAGCTAATTCTATAATAATGATAAAACATGGTAACTTCACTGCCTACACTCTATTACTTTTCTTTTCTTTTTTTTTTTTTTNAGGGACAGATAGAGGAATACTGCTTCTTAAGCTATTATTCTATCTTTCTCTTCCTTAACCTTCCATGCTGAAAATCATAGAAAACACAAATTATATGAGACAAACTAGTTCCGAAAAATATTTGTATCTATTATTTTTTTTTTTTTAGTTTTTTATTTATTTCTAGGAGAGAGAGAGCATGAGCAGGGGAGGGTCAGAGAGAGAGGGAGTGACAGACTCTGAAACAGGCTCCAGGCTCTGAGCTGGCAGTCAGCACAGAGCCCGACGCGGGGCTCGAACCCACGAACCGCGAGATCATGACCTAAGCGAAAGTCGGACGTTTAACCGACTAAGCCACCCAGGCGCCCCTATTACTTTTATTTCTTAAAAAATTTTTTTTCTTTCTGTTTAAGTAGGCTCCATGCCCAGTGTGGGGCCGGAACTCACAACCTTGAGATCAAGAGTCACATGCTCTATTGACTGAGCCAGCCAGGCACCCCTTTTATTTCCTATTTTTTTAAAAAGCTGGTAAATATAATGCCTGAGCCAATAAAATTCAGGCAGTGATTCACATGGTTACACTACCCTCAAAACATTTTTAAAAACATCTTAAAACTTCACAGGCTGTTGTGGAGATAGGCTGTTAGGTGGACCTATAAAATTTAAAGTGATCTTATTATCATTAGAGATTTTTTCTTCTCTTCAAATTGAAGTTTTGTAGGGGTGCCTGGGTGGCTCAGTCAGTTAAGGGTCCGACTTTGGCTCAGGTCATGAATACGCGGTTCATAGGTTTTAGTCCCACATCGGGCTCCGTGCTGACAGCTCAGAGCCTAGAGCCTGCTTCAGATTCTGTGTCTCCCTCTCTCTCTGTCCCTCTCCGGCTCATGCTATGTCTGTCTCTCTCTCAAAAATAAACAAACATAAAAAAAATGTTAATTTAAGTTTTGTAATCATGCTCAATTTTTGAGACATTAGAATCATCTATGAAGCATAAAAAAAATATAGATGCCCAGGCATTAATGTAGATATGCTGAATCAGAATCTCTACAAGTCGGCCAGGCATCCATATTTTGAAAAAGACTCCGAGAAATGTATTTGCCCTCAAAACCGAAAACCCTGTGACATAACACATAAAGATTTACAGCAATTCTTAGAATTTTCTGTGCATGAGAATCACCTCAGGAGCTTGTTCAACATGCCAGCTCCCAGAATCTCAGAAAGGGTCCATTCGGTCGGTCTGCTGTGGGCTCTGTGATTTGCGTGTGTAAGCGGTGTTCCAGGTAACCCTAAGGCAGGTGTTATCAAACCATACTCTGGGCAACATTTTTTTTTAAAACATGTTTTGGAAAGCATGTAAAGAAATCAAAACAAACAAATACTACCAGCCTGGGATCTGGAAAGCGGCAGCCACTGACCTGGGTGATATTTGTGAATATCTGCTCAGACATCCTCTCGCACAGAACGGCCAACAGCTGTAGAACCTGCAGCTTCTGCCCCTGACCTTCCACACGAGTTTGGTGCTGCTCTAACTCCAAGAAGCTTTTGCTGGAGAAGGGTTTTGTTTCTAACTCCGCTTCATTTTCCATGGCCACATGAGTCAACTCCTATCAGCATGGAAGAAAAGAGTGAAGAAAAAGCCTGTAGAAACAAGGACTTCACAAACAGTAGGAAAACTGTTGCAAATGTATATTTAAAGAATTAGTCTATGTTCACTGCAGCATTATTTATAATAGCCAAAATTTGGGAACAAATAAATTCTAGCAATAAGAGAATGGATAAATAAACTGTATCTACTATATTGTGGCAGTTGAACTAAATAAACCAGGTCTATAAGGAAATCAAAAGAGAGAGGCCTCAAAAACAGTGTTGAGTGAAAAATGTAAGTCGTACAATAATGTATTAAGATATCATGTATATGAAGATTTAAAACTGCACAATAAGAGGTACCTGGGTGGCTCAGGGCATGATCTCACAGTTTATGAGTTTGAGTCCCATATCAGGCTTGCTGCTATCAGAACAGAGCCTGCTTTGGATCTTCTGTTTCCTTCTCTCTGTCCTTCCCCCGCTCACGCTCTCTCTCTCAAAGATAAATAAAACATTTTTTAAAAAAATTAAGGGGCATCTGGGTGGCTCAGTCAGTTGTGCATCCAACTGCAGCTCAGGTCATGATCTCACGGTTCATGAGTTCGGGCCCCACCATCAGGCTCCGTGCCGACAGTTTGGAGCCTGGAGCCTGTTTCAGATTCTGTGTCCTCTCTCTCTGCCCTTCCCCCACTAGTGCTCTGTCCCTCTCTTTCTCTCTCTCAAAAATAAACATTTTTTTAAAAAAGACCCCTTTATTAAAACGTTTTTAACTTCATAATAAAAAAACATACAGATACAAAGAGAACTAGTTTGACAGACTTACTATATCAGTATTTTTTATGATGTCTACCACTGGCCCTATTGAACTGAGACCTCAGGCCACATAACATTTCCAAACGCTTTCTAGAGATTATTAAATGCTTTCAGCACCATTTCCCCTAAGGAATTTGAACTGAATCTCTACTAATAGACAGTTCACTACTGTGGGTTCTGTAGGGTCTTCCCCTCTAATGTATATTGTAAATTTCCTTGGGAAGGGAAAACCTTAAGTTCCTTAACAATTAATGTTTTACCAAAGTAACTGACAGTTTAGAGCAAGGTTCCTAACTGCCTGGGAAATTCTGCTCCTCAGGGGGCATTGAGCAATGTGTTAGGACACTTTTGGTTGTCATAATTGCGGAGTGATACATCTAGTAGAGGTCAGGGATGCTACTAAACATCCTGAAAGGAAGCACAGGAAGCCCCCTGCCTCCCAACAAAAAATTATCCAGCCCCAAATGCCAATAGTACCAAGGTTGCAGAAACCCTGGTTTATAGCAAAGCCCTTTGATTTTTTTGTATTTAAACAAATTTTTTTTTAATTCTCCAATTAAGAGCACATCTTTGGGGCACCTGGGTGACTCAGTTGGTTCAAGTGTCTGACTTCGGCTCAGGTCATGATCTCACGGCTCGTGGGTTCGAGCCCCGCATCGGGCTCTGTGCTGACAGCCTGGAGCCTGCTTCAGATTCTGTGTCTCCCTCTCTCTCTGCCCCTCATCCCCCCCAGCTCACGCTGTCTCTCCCTCTCTCAGAAATAAATAAAAAATTTTTTTAAATTAAAAAAAAGAGCATATGTTCTTGGAATGTTGTTTACAATGAATGGCTAAGGGACACCTGGGTGGCTCAGTCAGTTGAGAATCCAACTCTTGATTTCGGTGCAGGTCATGATCTCATGGTCGTGGGATTGAGCCCTGTGTCAGGATCAGTGTAGAGAGTGGAGCCTGCTTGAGATTCTCTCTCTCCCTCCTCCACTTGCTCTCCCTCTCTCTCTCTCTCTCTCCCTCTCTCATTCAAACTAAATAAACTTAAAAAAAAACAACAACACAATGAGTGGCTAGGTAAGGGGAAAGAATGTGAATATAGGAGGTGAGAAAAGCATCAAAAATGTGGCACCTACTTCAAGTTCTAGAAGTGCATTAGCCCTGATTCTCTCCTTGCATTCCCCCACAACCACGCCAACCTTAAACTCCAGAGACATTCTCTTACAATTGACACTTTACTTAGGGAAAATAATGGAGAAGGCGATGCTGGAGCACAGAGAATCAGAAATCACCCTGTTTACAGTCTCAAACAGCGCAAATAAGGGTACAATATGGGGCACAAATTGCTGTCAGAGATTAGAGCAATAGGAAGCACAACCATCGGCACTAAGAAACAGACTTGGAAAAGGTTTCAGGTGGTTACAAAATGAAATGAAAGGCAGAACTGCTAAATCTCCTTTCCAGATACCTGACAAAACAACAGTCAGAAAGGATAAGGGATTACTCCATAACTGCAAAACCTGCTATTAACTTCAAAAGAGTTCTTACTGTCAACACAGAGCAAAGATTAACCCTTTCATAGATCAATAGTATGCTTTGGTTATCTCTAAAAGTTCAGGGCAGATTATCTCGGAAAATAGTTTGATTGTATGTGTACTGCTGGAGGTAAGTTATTTTTCTTTTTACCACCCCAAAGGCTACAAAAAATAAACCACTCTTACATCCTTTTATTATTTCTGTTAGATTAGGGCCTTAATTTTAGGGCCTAAAATTATGACCACCCTGAAAATCCAAAGGGGACCCTGGTACTTCCCTGAAATCAGGCTGACCATGTCCTTACCATGCATAGTTCTTACCTGCAAGCAGAAGATGAAGAAGTCACCTGCCAAACCACACTCCTGGCAGTGGGATAATAAGTCCCCAAGTTGCTCTACCTGGCACTGCTCTGAGGACACCTTCTGGTACAAGACTTCATCTTCATCTTCGTCACTGCAACATGTGGAAAGATTCATCTTGGCAGTGTCACCAGAGATATTTTTTGAAACTCCATAAAAATCTTCTAAAGTTACATGGTATTGGGGCACCTGGGTGGCTCAGTTGGGTAAGCATCTGACTTTGGCTCAGGTCATGATCTCATGCTTCATGGGTTTGAGCCCCCAGGCTCTGTGCTGATAGCTCAGTCTACAGCCTGCTTCAGAATCTGTGTCTCCGTCTCTCTGCCCCTCCCCCACTAACACTGTCTCTCTCTCTCTCTCTCTCTCCCCCCCCCAAAAAATAAATAAACATTAAAAAAAATTTTTTTTAAAGATGGATGTTGAGGAACTCTATTATTTCAATAAATTGAAAGAGCAAGGAGGAACTAGAGTACAGGTTGTATGCAGATATTCCGGTTCCCGAGGAAGAACAGAAAGAAAGAAGTCTGCAAAGCAAGGTCAGATCATAGAGGACTCTGGATGCCATTCAAAGAAAGTTAGACTTTTTTTTTTTTTTTTTTTTGATGAGCCACTGAAGGTTTATGGGCAGTAAGGAAAAGACACTATCCTTACAGGGGGAGATGCAGTCAGTCTCAACTAATAAGAACCAACTAGCTGAAATATGAACATCCATAAAGGCTCAGAAAACTGAGGAGGCCAAATTTCCAAGCAATAAAATATGGCTAAGGTATTAAAGGCAGGGCTATGATTTCTGCAAAAAGTTTCAAGAAATTTCTCATGAGGTACTAAGGCTTTTAGTTTTAATTTATGAGATAAGTGAAAAAGCCAAGATACAATATTATCATGCTATATCACATAGACAAACACAGAGGCACAAAGATGCCCTAGAAGACAAAACATTAAAAAAATGTGGACAGTGAATAGGATGGTGGTTGCTTTTTGTTTTCCTCTTTATGCTTTTTTGTATTATACAAAGAAGGTATGTTACTCTTATGATCAAAGAAGAAATAACATTTTTTTCAGACCAAACTGAGAAAAGAATGATAGATGTTGCTTCATCTCATTGAAAAGTACAATTATTAAAGTTGATTTGGCCCCATCCCGTAGGGCAGTAAGTCCCAATTTGCCAGTTCACTATAACATGGCCTTCATATCCCTATAGTAGAATGAATAACCTATAAACTAAGCTTAAGATTACTTCCTATATTATCCCAGAATCTTTCAGAGTCCTTCAGATCAGTCATGTTATCTCCCCAGATTTTATGTTAGGCAAAAAAACTGAAATGGTTTTTTTCCCCACTTCTATGCTTCTGTGAACCATCCTATCAAAATGAAGTACTATATTCAAATACTTTTTTTAAAGACATGATAACAATGACCTTAAGAAGCTCTATCTCATTCTTAAAATTTCAATGATAAAGAGTCCATTCCGAATACTGTAGTTATATGTAGTTCCAGAAAAATAAAAACAAAAAAGACTTTGAAATCTAAGCCGCTCTTTTAGTGTTTCTTTAAACAAAGCTTTTATTAAACTGGGGCTCCTGAGCAGAATGATAGGGAAAAGGTAAGAGGTGATACTAACCTGCCCTTAAGGGACTAGCACTGTGATCAAGATCTTTAGAACAAAAGATAAAATCACAACACACACACATGCATACACGCTGCTCTGCTACGGTAAATGTTAACTTTTTGGAGATATGGAGTGTCTTTAGGTATCAAATGAAGGCTATGGACCCTATTTTCAGGAAAAAAATTCAGGTTTGCACATAAAATATTTCTTGCATATAATTTCAGAAGGACTATGGACTCCTAGAAGTCCACGGAGAAACCTTAAGTTAAGGATCTGTTGCTTCTGGCAGGAAAGATTCATGCAACTACTGCCTATTCAATTTCTGCTGCCATGAAGAGAAACTATAGCTTCAATAAGAACTGTTAATTTTGACATATGTGCACTAAGATGTACACCAGAGACTTGTTAAGCTAGCAATTAACTTTAACTATTGATAAGTCAAATACTGCAAAATTCTCTATATAGTCACTAAATTGGTCCCAGATTAAACTCTTCCAAAGGGTTTTTAAAATAACCATGTTGAGAAATTTTAAACTCTTTCAGTTCAGGGGCATAGTTACAACTACAAAACCTACTAGTGCTCAACGGTTCTCGGGAAATAAGTAGCTTGGGTTTGTACTGATAATTCCATTTGTAGTCAATGTATGTTGTTCATTTTCTTCAAGCCCATCATATTGAAAGAGTGTTTTATAACTTTACTAAGTTAACCTTGAATAAAAAATTAAATTTGCACTTTAACAAACAGTCACACTTTGAACATATGTAAAATCTGAGTAGCTGCTGGCAGTTAAGAACTATATGGACTCTGGTCAACAGGAACTTACATTATGAGGTAATAATATCTACACATATCACCTAGAAAGTGGAAATAATTTAAAATATACTTGCAAGATGTTGGAGAAATAAATTATCCATTCCACTACATTTACTTTTTATTAAAAATTTTTTTTTAATGTTTATTTTCGAGAGAGACTGAGAGCAAGCAGGGTAGGGCAGAAAGAGAGGGAGACACAGAATCTGAAGCAGGCTCCAGGCTCTGAGCTGTCAGCACAGAGCTCAATGTGGGGCTTGAACTCACAAACCACAAGATCATGACCTGAGCCAAAGTTGGACACTTAACCGACTGAGCCACCAGGGGCCCCATATTCCATTACATTTATTAAGCACCTTCTAAATGATCCCTAGGAGAAACCCTCATCCTAAAATTAACATAAAAGATAGCTTTCAGACAATTTCCCTTAAGAGTAAGTCTGACTCTGAACATACACAGACCATTTGGAGAGTCAGAAAGAGAACTGGATCGTCATGGTACGGAGAGTAAACATGTGTCTGCCCTTTACTCTGATTCACTGGCAAAGCCTTTGTGAAGTAAGTGGGCTTATGAGGCAGAGCTGTGAGGCTCCAGCAAATTGCACCTACTATTAGCTGGCATCCGGGGGAAAAAACCTGCAGGATTATTTAAGGCACTCACATTTCATTTAGAGATTATTAATAGCAGCACCTCAGCTGCCTGAAGTCCTAGCTCTCGTTCTACCAGCGCCCCTTAGTGGACAAGTCAGGGAAGGGTCTTTTGGGTGCAACTGTCTCAGAAGACAGAGGGTAAAAGGATGGGTGGACTCACCAAATGATCTCTTTGATGGTAATCATGATGCCACCTTGAGTGGCTGCTCTAAACTGACACAGAGAAGGAAGAGGGGACACAGACTTGTCCAATCCTGCAAATCCTTTCAGGCTGGCAATTGCCTTCTTCCTCTCCAGCTTTCCCAGAATCCATAATAAGATCTCTTGGCAAAGTGACCTGGCAGAAAAAGCAGTTATAAATGAGCTTGTCATCTTACTCTACACATCTAACAAGCTAACATAAAAAAAGAAAGGAAGACTGTCAGGTTCCACTACATTCTAAATGCTGGCACAGCCACCTAGTGCTACTGAAACACAGGACTGCAAAGTATGCTTCCCGTGAATTTGAGAATATATCGAATATCCAGAAATTCAATGAGTGACTGGCTAATCTTTGGCCCTAGAAGCAACCCTGATTAAGACACAGGAGCCCCACATGATTTTTAAAAAACAATAATTCCAAGTGTATCATTGCCTTTGGGTCAGGCACTGTGAATGAAAGTTTACACTGACAAAAACCATGTATGAGTGGGATCAGGAGCAGGTGACCAAGAAACAGCGTGCCAAAAGATTCTTGCTGATTCTTCAGCCCCTTTCATCTGTGCCAATCAGCTAGGCTAAGGATGGGATCAACGTTCACTTCTTTCTTCTTGGACTCTGACGAGGGCAGGACAGTGCTGTGAGGATTTGGGTTTCAAAACTAAGGCAAAGGTTATTTTATGGACAGTTATTTGAAGCCAAATTCACATACTGATAGTTTTCATTTTCCACTGTGTTTTCCCTTGTAGCTGTTGGACTACAATGAGGTGCTGACCAAAAGTTAGAGTCTAAGGCAGTATGTGAGCTTAAAAAATACGTAAGAATGAGAACTTTCCAGGATCCTGGGTGGCTCAGTTGGTTAAGCATCCGACTTCAGCTCAGGTCATGATCTCACAGTTCATGGGTTCAAGTCCTGCATCGGGCTCTGTGCTGACAGCTAGCTCAGAGCCTAGAGCCTGTCTGGATTCTCTGTCTCTCTCTCTCTCTCTCTCTCTCTCTTTCTCTCTGATCCTCCCTGCTCACGCTCTGTCTCTCAAAAATAAACAAAAAACAAACAAACAAAAAAAGAATGAGAACTTTCCTTCACCACCTAACAACAATGATAACAATGATCATCTATCAGCTATTCTCCAGGGACAGTGCTAAACATTTTAATGCAGTCTTCACAACAACCCTATGAAGAAGGTACTATTACTGTACATCAGGTCACATGTGGGGGTTTTCCAAACACTAAATGTCAGAAATCTCTAGGACTTTAAAAAGGATATAAACCCTTATAAGGAGGAAACAACATAACAGAACTGATACAAAATGAAGCCTACTTAAACCCCAACACAAAAGATTATTTTCTGGGTGATGAAGAAATCCCTTCATCCCAAACAACACTGTGCGGCACTCGTACCAAATCCAGGTCTAAATTACAGAGTGCCATGTTCAGATCCAGATTTCCCCAACCTGATTTCTCCTTCCCCACAAGGTAGTTATGATCCCTTCTCTACTTCCTCCTTCCTAGACATGTAATTCCAGTAGTTCTCACTGATCAAACAGGGGCATGTTTACACACGTAAGCAGGGGTTTCATCTCTCATGTCTAGGAAAGAGGCTGAGGGAAGCCATTCCAAAAATTACATCCAATCCTCAGCAGTCTGAAAAGTGCTCTTTCTTTTCCCAGAGGAGCAGAGTAAGAGGCTCCTCAAATGCTTTCCTGATTTTGAAAGAAAAAAACAATTACAAAGTGGCACTTAAGTTTTATATTCAAAATAAGAATAAGAACAACATACAAGAAAGATTTCAATATTTATAAACAAATAAAGTTCTCCAGGTTGTTTACCTTATGTGAGACACGCTCTGCTTAGTAAAACAGAATAGGGAGAAAAGCACGCCCAAGACTGGAAACAGGGAATCCATTAAAACCGTCAAAGGTTCGTTCCCGACCACGTACACCTGGGGAAAAGAAAATGGCAAGAGGCGCCGTGAGTGCAAGGCCCGAGGAACAGGAATCAAATACCACACATCTCCTAGCACAGCTTAGAGTTTTATCTTAGGCAACACTGTAGTCCTAAACCGAATAATGTTAGCCCTAAGGCTGAGAGAACCATTTGAGATTGGCAGACAGGCACAGGAAGCCTGAGCAGGAGCAGTGCCCTTTCGTGTGCAGCCTGAAGAACTGTGGGGCAAAATGGGTAAATGAACCCATTTTCTGACCCCTTCCTCTCCTGCTTTTGACTACCTTTGTGTCTCCTGCTAGTCTATTACTCATCTATGCAATAATCCTCTAATTACCAAAAGGCCTGCTCTTAGGAACTAAGAAGCAATGCCAAACAAAAGAACTTAAACTTAGATTTGAAAGTCAAAACCAAACCCAAAAACATCACCTACTCTACATTTGTCACTCTGGGTGGCTTAGTTGGCTGACCATCCAATTTTTTATTTTGGTTCAGGTCATGATCTCAGGGTTGTGAGACTGAGCCCCACATCAGGCTCCTCAATGAACGTGGAGCCTGCGTGAGATTCATATTCTCTCTCTCTCTCTCTCTCTCTCTCTCATCCTCTCCCTCTCCCCTTTCCCCTCCCCTCCTGACTCATGCACACATGCACTTTCTCTGTCTGTCTCAAAATTAAAAAAAAAAAAAAAGATCTGTTACTCTTAACATGTAACCACACGGGCATGTCCTATTCTCTCCAGTTCAATAAATGTTAAAAGAAATTACAATGTGCTCCTAACTCAGCACTGACTTTATAGGGTTAAGTGTGTGAAGATGCTGATTTTTGTTAATGGTAATTATTTCACACAGTTGTCACTTCAAAAAGGATAGTACAAATGCATTCAACAAAGTTTATCTGAATAGCCACTGGAATCAAAGCATGGTCTTAGGCATTGTAGTGAATATAAAAGTGAGTAAGAGTTGTTCTCTCTCAATTGCTTGTGATCTAACAAGAAGAATAAAACAAGGAGACCAATTACAATAATAATAATTCAAAACAGGTAAATTAAAAAAGAAGAGGAAAATACTATTTTTTCAACATTCTTTCTGTAAATCAGGGCCTCTTTAAGCTTCCATTTCCTCGTCCTTAAAAATAAGACTGACCTTACCTTAGGAGACTGTTATATTTTTTTTTCATAGGAGGTTGTTATAATTTTAATAAACTGTTTCAAGAATCTAACACAGTAGCTGAGAGATAAAAATGCTGGCATAGTTCTGGGAACATACATTGAGAGTGTCATCACAGTCAGTTCCTCAGCTTTCTCCTTTTATCATCATGATCTGTGTCCATGCTTTGAGGCTTCAGTTAAATTATTAATTAAGTTGTGTTTAAGTGAAGAAGGAATCAATGCTGTTTTGTGGGATCCTAAAGGTCATGGAGGCACCAGCTGGAAGAGGCTCTGCGCTTTCTTAGAGAACCCTGTCCCTTTAAATCGATCCTAATTTTTTACACTACTTAAGCCTCCCAGCATCTCTGTGGAGCCTGATAACCAAGGAGCCAGCTTCCTGTGCATGATCTAATCTCCATAAGCCCAGCTCAATGGGGTGCATGGTATGGCAGTGTTCACAGTAATATGCAGGCCTAATTATGATATCATCTATTACAAGAGGAAAGAGAGAGAGAGAGAGAGACTGAGAGAGAGAGAGAGATTCCCCCAGATCACGTAAGGGCCTATTGTTTGGCTCCGTTGTCTGTGTTCCCAGAAGTAATCCCTGTGGAGCCATCCTTCCTTATCAGCATCTTTTATACAAAAAACAAAAAACCAAATGGAATTAACTCTCCTTTATTTACTGGCTTGACTGAGACAAAGCACCTCAAATTTTAACATGAATTCCATCGAGCCCATTTCTCAGAGGTATATGTTGTTACTGATAAATTCCTCCAATTTTTAAGTTCTCTTGTTATACTTTTCTGAACAAGTACTGCTTTTGTATTTAGAAAAAAATGATCAAAGAGTTTTCTCTGTGATATCTCAAACAAATGGCCTCTTTATGACACTTATAGATTGCTGCTACCTCCCTTCCAATATTAAGAGGAAATTTCTCTTTGTATTGAGCCCAAAGCTACCTCCCTCTAACTTCCTTGATAGAGGTACTTTTTTTTTTTTTCAAAAGTTTTAGATGGGCTGTTCAAACGTTCTACCTTTTCCACAGGCCTGCTATGTATTTGACTGTTCAACTATTCATCCATTCTTTCACTAATTCAAATATTTAGTAAGCATCTAACCACCATTAATAACTTTCCTCCAGTAAATTCCAGTAGCACTTTAGAGCTTGTAACACAGAGAATATATAGTTCTTTCTCACCTCTGCAACTAGCCTAGAAGGCAAAAGGCAAGCTCTCTGTTTTGGCACCTATTACAATAGACGATTAAGTTGCATTACCAGAATTTTTGGTGAATAAGCACTTGTTACAGAAGTATACAATTTAAAGGAACCACTTCCGTTACTGTTCTTATGAAGCAAACAATAACTACCATTTTACTGTAATGTCTACTAAAGAATAAACCAGGTTATTCAGCTAAACATTTAACATACAATCAATCCTCACGAGAGCCCTGCAGGGTAAGCATTTTTATTCCCATTCTAAAAATGTGGAAAACTAGGGCCCAGAGAAGCAAAGTTAGTTGAGCCAAGGTATTCGGTTAGTAAATGGCAGAGCCGGGGTGAACACAAATCTGCCTGACAGAAAATCCATGCTCAATCCAGAGACAGAGAGCAGATTAGTGGTTTTAAGGGCGGGGGGGGGGGGGTAGGGCAAAATGGGGACTGACTGGTACATGGGTACACTGTTTCCATTTGGGGTGATGAAAAGGTTCTGGAACTAGACAGCAGTGATGACTGTGTGACACTGTGAATGGACTTAATGCCAGTGAACTGTATACTTTAAGATGGTTAAAATGGTAAATGTTATGTATATTTTACCACAATTTTTGAAAAAGAACAAAACACGTACTCATGGCCTCCCAATACTCACCTCCCCGTGCGCATTTTTTCATTGCTTCAGTCCCTAAGCCACCCCAACTTTATCCCTGCCATGTCCCCTCAGAACCAGTAGGCCCGGCTTGCCAGGCTATTAATACTCCAGTCCTGCAACCTCTGCAAACTGGGACCAGAGTTCCTGAGTAGCGCCGGGAGCTCCTGCATCACCTCCCCTTCCTCCCGCTGAGACTCTTCTCTGTACACAGCCGCCTTCTACCGAGTCTCCGGTCGATGTCCAGGGCCACAGTGTGGCCTTTCCAAGGACAGCGGCCTCCTGCCAGTCTCTTGCCTAGCACTCAACTCACATGCAGGTTAATGATTTGGTCTGGACCCCACATCCAACATTACCCTCTCAGTATACTCCCAAAGTAGAATCGGGTCACTTCTCACTTCATGTGGACTCCCCAGATCACTGACTTATTCCTGAGGTTAGTGACCCATAAAGGGACACAGGAGGCTGCACTGAGTCAGGGATCTCTTGCGGACAGCATGTACAATGACCTGATGCTCTAGGAAAAAACCAATAACAACAGTCTTTCCAATGAAGTCATAGTACATATGGAAGAAACTGTTAGGGCCAGTTCCTTCTAGTCTCCTTCATGCTAGGCTGGTGACAGTATAGACTGAGGAAGCAGTGAGGGCACAACAGTAAGCTGTTCCTGCCCCACAGAGGACAGGGCCTATTACCCTCCATCTCTGCCCTAACATCAGGTGTGGAATTTCCTTGGACTGTGCTCATGCGCAGTCTCCTGCTATTTGGGGTTCTTTCCTGCTCACCTGGAGGCAAAGTGGGATGGGAGTTCAAGTTCTGAACACAATCCCATATTGCATGTATTATTTCTACCTGTGGAAATTCCCTTTTCTCAACAGTATACCTACTGGGTATATTTCACATAGGGTTGTTTGTAATACTTCTACTGACAGTTGCAAGACTTAACACAAATCAACTGACTTATCTGAGTCTCAGTTTCCTTATCTAGGGCACAAGGAGGTTGGCAAATCTACCAACCTCTGACTTGACTGTAAATTTGCTAACTCCCTTCTGTATCTTTCCGGTACTTCAGCCATTAAGAGGTTAAAAGACAAACAAACAAACACTGAAACTTGACCAAGATGTAAAAATTTCTAATCCTCCCCACATGCCTTCCCTTCTATCATTTTGAAATTCGAAATTTAAAGCTGAAATCCCGATTAGGTGAAAGATGTTCTGGCTGCCTGAGACATCTATAGAACTAGAGATCACCAAACAAAATACCAAGAGGCGGGAAAGTTGAAGCAGGGAAGGGAGAGACAGATTCTCAAGGTATCTTCAATTTTTTGGTTGGGAGCGCCTGGGTGGCTCAGTTGGTTGAGCGTCCAACTTCGGCTCAGGTCATGATATATCACGGTTGTGGGTTCGAGCCCCGCGTCGGGCTCCATGCTAATTGCTTGCTCAGAGCCTGGAGCCTGTTTCAGATTCTGTGTCTCCTTCTCTCTCTGCCCCTCCCCTGTTCACACTCTCTCTCTGTCTCTCAAAAATAAATAAATAAATAAATGTAAAAAAATTTTTTTTTAATTGGTATGAAAAAGACTCTCCGAGAGTAAGTGAAATGGTGCTTCGAAGAAAAGGTGAACTTCCATGTCTACCTTTGGGTCTTCCAGGAGGACAGGGCTGAGGGGCAAAATAAGAGACCAGTATGAATCTATGAAAATCACAATGGCTCAGAACAGATCAGTCAAGGAAACAGACGGGTACCAATGACCTACTGGCAACTTGGGGATTTCCACATTCCTTTCTGAATGCATCTTGGCTTTCTATCACAGATCCAGCCATGAGAAGAGGTGTCTGTGGTTAAGCCTTACAACCCTTCGTCTAAGCTCAGAGATCACTCTTAACAAGTAACAAAGACATGATTCTCAGTACTGTTAACAGTACATCACATACTACTGTAACTCCTTGTTTGCTTGACTGGGGACTTCTTGAAGGCAGTAATTGGC